GGTGCATCAGGAATACAAGACTATACATATGAAATAGATGAATGTGAAAAAATTAATTATCATGCTACTATCTGGGTGAATCATTTAAAATGAGTAGGGCGTACTGCTGATAATAAAATAAATTTATGCAAAGTTCAGGATTGGTTAAAAAATCTTGAAGATAATTTTTTACAAGCTGAAAGAACAATAGCTGAATGTAATAGTGAATTACAAGATACCCAGAATGCTTTGGAAAATGCAGAAACTCTAAATGGGATATTACAAGAGGATCTTGCTAGAATAACAGAAAAATCTATATCACTTTCTAGTGGCTCCTCTAGTAAGAGAGTTTCTATTGAAACATTATAAGAAGAATTTGATTGATTTATTGGACATCATCGCAATTTAAGTGAGCAACTTGATGATGATTTATCAGCTAGTATTTCATCTTTAATACTACCTTTAATAGAGCCAGAAGAAAACTTATCTCCCTAAGAGGTTCGCTAATTATTAGAGAAAAAGCATAAGAAAACTTTAAAGGCTATAAATCTTACTAATACTGCGAAAAAAAAGGTTCGAGAATTGACACAAGTCATATATGGTGGAAGTCCTTCTCCTCCTTCTGAAATGTCAAGTTCTCGTTTAGAATTTGATGATGAGATTTTAGGTAATTTAGGGGTAATATAGATGAGGAGGAAGATTCTATGCCAGATTTCCCATCCTATGATGAAGATATAGGAGCTATTAATAATCAGCTAGAAGAGGAGAAAGCTAAATTACTTCGAGAAAATACTTACCTTATTTTTATTTCTTGATTTCAGATCCGTAAGGCTAGAACAGCACAAGATTTATGGATTAATACGAGAAGAGATAATTGTCAACTGAAAGCTCAACTGCATGAATGTCAAGGTGACAGGGAAGTACTAGAATATAATCGAGATCAACTTTTTGATAGATATGAAAAGTGGAAAAATAAGACACATGAAGAACGTCAAATAATATTTAATTTACAGGGAGAAATTTTAGCATTACAGAATAATCCACTAAATATATCAGGAATGGTAGGATACAGACCCCTAATATTTTATGATCGTCCTGGAGAAAATCCAGATGATTGGCTTAGGGATATGCAAAGATATATAATAGTTAGTCGAATAAATGTTGCACTTGTTGCAGGTCAGATCCCTGAAAGAGAAGAGGCATTTGGGCTAGTAATATCATGCCTTGCAGGTGATGCATTAAATTGGTATTTAACCCATATAGAGGTAAAAATTGGAGATGCAATAATCTCTCAGACAACTTGGAAGTACTTACTTTAACTGCTGTTCAAGGAATAGTTGCCGAAAATGGTGGTAATCAAATTGGTGATTTGAATACTGCTAGAGAATTTCAAGGTAAGACAGCCACCAAAATTAGTAGGATTGGAGCAGGAATCGCAACAGGTGCTGATATTATTCTGAATGGAACATGGAATGAAGATTAGTCTATAGCTGGTATTGAACCTGTAGATAATGCAAAAGTAGTGTCTAATGCTGGAGGGTGTTTTCCTACCGTTACTATTACTCCCGGTATTAAGCTTAGTCAACTTCTATACCTGTTTAGAACTTGTTATACAACAGTTGAACACTTAAAACACATGGCAGTTTTTAGTCAACTTATGCAGGGTGATATGTCTATTGAGCAATTCTCCACTAGAATTAAAAAATTGGTAAAGTAGCTGAAATGACTCCTAAACAGCAAAGAGAGCAATTTATTCATGGTCTATCTCTGATGAATCAATATAATCTTCAAATGATAGCCAAATTTCATGATACACAGGATAATATTACACAAGCTCTAGCTGAAGCAAAAATATACATTATCTTAAAAGAGCGCACTGTTTTCTTTTCAAATTTTCTGGTGGTCAATCCATATACAGATACTAACAGATTAGAGATGTCTAGAAATAAAATTGAGAACTTAGTAAAAACCACAATGGCTTTCTCACAGCTTCAACAGCAACCTCAGCAAACAGTTACATCAGCTCTACAGTTCTGTTCACAACCCATTAGGACGGGTGACAAAATACGAGATGAAAATATTGGAAGATTTTTAAGTTGGATTTTAGGAAAAACTTCAAACTTTGAACCTGTTACTAGGCCTACTTTACCACTAAAGCCAAAAAAGAAAGTTGAAGTAGATTCTGATGAAGAACTTGCTGAGCTCACGAAAAAGCAGTTAAATCTTCACATAGCTAAAGCTATTAAAAAGCTGTGAAGTGACAATAGCATTGCTCTAACTGTAATAGAACTGGACATAATTCTCGCAAATATACTCGAAAAAAGAAAAAGAAAAGTAAGAAGTCTAAAAAAGAAAAGGTTAATCTTGCCACTATAGATCTGGGTTCTGATTTTGATTCTAGTACCTCCTCTAGCGATTCATCATCTAATGATAGTTTTGATTCTGATACAAGTTTTCTGATTCTTCTGATTCTGGAGATGGTATCACTGTTAATATTGCCAAATCAAAAAAAAATTAAAGTGTAATACCTTATCTAGTAATAATTCTGGACCTAAAAAATCATCTTCTCAGAAGGAGTCTACCAAAGGCGGTAAAAGTAAATCCGAGAAAAAGACCCGTAAGACAAATCAGGATGATATGCTTGCCAATTCTTTTTCTTCCAAAGCTGATCAGCAGATTATTCGTAAAATAATTTGAAGTAAGCTTGGTTCAGCTTTGCGAGAAGAACTAAAAAAAATCCTCCCTTCATATATGATTCAGACCCTTCAGCTAGATACTAAGAAGTCAGATTCAACCAAAGATAAGATTGAATCTAAAGCTAATGATTTCTTATCTTTTCGAGAACCGATTCCCACTATACCTGAGTCAGATAAGGAGGAGTCTTTAGATGATCCTATGGAAATCAATTTCATACAGAAAAAGGAGCCGAAAATAAGTGTTGCAACTGTAAAGTGCAAAATCAAACGCTTAAAGATTCCAGCCATGACTCTTGAATCTGGAGCTGAGCCCCTAATTATAACGAAAAACATTGTTGATCAAATTAAGGACAAGATAGATAAATCTGAAAAACATGATCTCAGTGGCGTAGCTACTGTTCCGATTGAATCTATTAGTATTGTTCGCAATCTACCTATTACTTTAGCATCTGGATGCACCATTTATGAAGATTTTGTGGTTGTAAACTATCACAAGCCAATGCTAATATTTTCTAATCAACTCTTAAAGAAATATGGGTGCGCAGTAGATTGGAATACAAATGAGCTAAAGATTCCTCTCAATGGAAAGGATTATATTATCCCAATCACCATAAATAAGGTCAAGAATAAACTTGAAATAAACTGTGTAACTACTACTCCTAAATGCGATGCTTCCTCAACCCAAACTGTATTTCGCAAGACTTGCAGGACTTAAGTGAGAATGTTGCATTAAAAAAAGTGAGTTATGAGGAGCTCAAAAAAATGTTATATGATACTCTTATTTCCAAAGCTAGATTAATTGAGATTAATAAAAATCTACAATCCCTTTCTTCTCGTTAACTATACATCCTAGCTTAGCGGATGGTCTTAGTGAGTCCCCTGCAAAGTATTCTTTGTCTGAATATAATGAAAAGATGGGTTGAGAGTTAGGAACTTTTCTGATTCGCGTATAGCTTCCTTTGATTCTATATGATCCTTTTTGATTGAAGCAAATATGTCTTGTGAGATGTCTGGGGCAGAGTTTTGATAAAGGCCTTCCGCTAAAATCTCAGGTAAGTCAGAACTTTGAATAGATTTGAGCTAGTCCTGAAGGGATCGCTTTGGTAGTTTCTTTTTCTTTTTTTGCTTTTCTTGCATATTCATCTCAATAGTCTCATGAAACGGTTCTAAAGATCCTGAAATTGGATGAATATTTTCTTTTTTTTGCAGATTATTCTCTGAAGGAGAGACTAATAAGATGGATTGTACCTTCTTAAGCTTCTCAAGAAAGTGGTTTCCATTTTGCTGATAACGCTCACAACCATTTCATATATCATGAACACAATTTTTATTAATATGATACTCTTTTACTATTATATATGCCGGAACTTTATTTTTAAGACATCTAATTTTTTCGATCTGCTCAGAAGTCAAGACTGTGGCACTTCACTAATAATGAGTTTTCAAAATTGAGATAAACATACGCCTCTGATATTTTTTAGACAATGTATTAAAAGCATAAAAAATATTAGGCATTAATATTTATAGTTTTAGATAGATAATAAATATTAGAATTTAATATTTATGGATTTAGGATAAGAGAGAATGCTAAAATATATAATTTATTATTTTAGATAGATAAATTACATTCTAATTCACTATCTGTAATTAATAATAAAAAATGATCGATATCTTTCCTATTCATTCTATATTTATCATAATTGTTTTCTAACAAAAAATTTGAAAAGTTTTTTTTACAGTTTATGGCCAATGTAAATAAATGGGAATGTATGATCTTGAAAAGAAGATATATCACATCTTGCAAGACTCATTCAAATTCGTGGTTATAATGCTAAGTTGCGAAGTGAATATATAAATCTTAATGATGAAAATAGGCGGTTGAAGGTTGAAAACTCCAAACTTGTCTCCCAGAATGCTTGTATGGAAATATCTCTTGCCAAAGCTGAAGCCGATAACTTTGTAAAATCAGAGGAAGTGAAATCGCTTCAGTCTGTAATTAATCTATTGGCTCTAGGATACTCTGATAAAAATAATCAGTCAAATCCACATGTAAAAAGTGGGCTGATAATCACTTTGCAAGGTGAAAAAAATGATATTAGTGCTTCTTCAATTATAGGCATACTGGATAGTTCTATAGAAGAAGAGAAGACTAGTGATTCAAATAGCATGAGTTTGAAATCTAACCTCCTAGAACCAATTCTACCTGTCACTTCAGCAATCGAGGTTTCAATAGGTAACGCAGAAGGAATAGTAAAACTATCAGGCTCCTCTATCATTACGAACAAATTATTGTCATCTATGTTTTCCTATTCAATAATACTCTTTCTATTAATCATAATTATATTGATCATTGTTGTGAAAAAACTATTGAATACATGGAAAAAAACTGAGCGATAT